GGGGCCGCGGCCCCGAGGTGCTGCCACCAAGCAGCCCCTCCGCCCCAGCCCGCGGCCTCGGGCGCGCATCTCTGCCCTCCGGGGGCTTCCCCCTCCGCCGCCCTTGTCCTCGCTGTTGATTATTATTATCATCCTCATCGTTATTATTCTTATTGTCATCATTATTCTTATTGTCATTATTCTTACTGTCATTATTATTATTGTCATTATTATTATTTAAACGTGCACCAAGGTGGAGGAGCAAACTCAGTCCGCTTTCGCGTCTGCTTTGCCCTGCGGCCGATGGCTTGAGTCGCCTCCTGGAAGCCGGGCTCGTTGGCTGCCCCTCGCCTCTGCAACTTACCTTTCCAAGTGAAAACGTGCGAGGAGGAGGGTGCGGGGTGGGGGGAGAAATATGACGGCAAGACGAAGGGTTGCGTAAGTTGCATGACGTAGAAGCAGATGCTTTTTGAGTCGTTCTCTGGTGGTGAAAACACACGCACAGGCACCCTTCTTTGGTGGCACACACACACACACACACACGCCTGTTGTATAGGGATGTGCAAAAAAAAAAAAAAAAAAAGGGAAAGCCACAGGCTCCTTTGGACCCGCTCGCTGCCCCCCGCGCTGCCCGCCAGCGACAACCTGCCTTTGATTAGCTGCTTTTTAAACGGGATGTTCCCAGTCAACACAATTTGAAAGCAGACCTAGGAATAAGCCTCCCGAGGAGCTGCCCCGCTGCGAGGCGAAGCGGGAGACGCGGGGTCCCGACCCCGAGCAAGCCTCGGCCCCGCTGCCCTCTCCCCGGGCCGCCCCGCCGGGCGACAGCCGCCCACTTGGAAGGTGCCCCGCCGGGCCCCCGCCCCAGCAGCCGCCTCGCTTCCTATCTGCGCCCACGAAGCAACTCGCATGACAACTTCTATTTTTTTTTGCTCTCTCCTTCCTTTCTTCTTGCTATTTTCAGACACTCTCCCCGGCCCCTGCGCAGCGCGTCGGCCGCAGAGCCCGCGCCGGGCCCGTCGGTGGAGCTGCCTGGTGCCCCCCGCCGCTCTGCCAGGAAAGTTTGCAGCTTTTCACCGCATCCCGCGAGGCCCCGCCGGGCCCTTGGCAGAGCTGCGGGGCAAAGGGCCCGGTTCGTGGGCTCTCGCCCCGCTGCGGCAAAGGGGCCCCTCTCGCCCCACCGCCACCTTTGTGCGAAGTGAGCCTTCCCAGACGCCCCGCAGCTGAGCAAAGGGAGGGCACGTGCCCCCCGTACAGTACAGTGCCGGCTGAAGGATGCCTATATTTTTTAAAACCTGGAAAGGGTGGGGGGAGGGTGGGATTTCCCCCAAAGAAACAAAAGGAGCCACGTCGGGAGTAGTGGGGGACCATTTTAAACGCCCAGCTGTAAAAATAAGTCGAGGGAAGGGGAAGAAGGAAGCATGTCTCCCGTCCCCCTCCCCTTCTCGGGGGCAGCCTGTTCCGGGCGGCCCCGCGGAGAGGAGCCGCCGCAGCCCCCGTGCCCGCCGGACCCGCGGGACCTCCGCACCTGCG